CACGCGTGCGTGTGCTTGTGTGCGTGCGTGCGTGCATTCCGATATAGTAATGTTGGCTAGCGTGGACCCCAAACAGAGTGTTTCTAGCAATCTAAATTTTGCAATCCATATCTTGCAATGTATGCGGTGCAATCAATATGGTGCAATCTACGTGGTGCAATCTATGTGGTGCAACATCTGTGGTGCAAACTATGTTGGGTAATCTACATGGTGCAATATTTCTGGTGCAAGCTGCATGTTGTACAATCTATGTGGTGCAATCGATGCGGAGCAAAGTACGTTGTGGAATCTATGTGGTGCAATCGGCGTGGTGGCGATGGCGACGACATAGCCTCCAGACCGCCACACAGGCCTAGACGAGCGGCGACGGGGCGGTGACGGCGGCTACATAGCCGCCAGAGCTGCAGATAGGCCCAGTTCCCTAGAAGAGGAGTAAGAATTCGTAAGTGCAAGCGTTTGGGGAATCTGCGATCAACAAAATTCCCTACCAACGAAATTCACCTGACTGTAGGGTCCGCCAGTTCGCTTGCTTGGAAGCCTGCTCGCCGGCTTGAATGTCCCCGCCCGCCCGACCTGCCCGTTAGGGTCCGGCTGGCCATCCCGCTTGTCTTATTTTGCTGTAGTTTACCCAGGCGTTTCCCCAAAGGTGCCCCCCAAAGGGGGCACCTTCATGAACGAATGGGGTCTGGGGTCTAAATGTTGAGTGACACGCGAGCAATGACGGGCGAACTGTCTGAAACTAGCTGTTGATCATTTCGGCGACGACGGTGGCGATGATGGGGTGTAGGGAGGATGAGCAGGAAATCCAGGAGGAGCGGGGCAGGACGCGCTTTGCTGGGCGGCGGCCCGCGAGGTCAGCCGCAGGAGCGACGACATCGACAGGAAGGAGGAGGCGGACACGTTCCAGGAGAGCTCCTCCTTCCCTTTACCTCTCTCCTCCCCTCTCTATCCCTCCTGCCCCCTCTCCGTAGCCGTTTCGTGCCGAACCACTGCGGGCCCAGGTGGCCTTGCCCGCGCGCATTTCCCAGTGACGCAGCGCGGGCGAGACACAGAATGCGCTCCCGGCGGGCGGTGGCGAGCGGCGAGCGCTGGCGCCGTGGCTGCGGCCACGCGCGTTCTGGCCTCGACCGCTGAGGGCGGTTGCGGACCTGGCCGCGCCGGTCTTGGGCGTCGCCCTGCACCACTGGACGCCACGGCGGCGGCGGCGGCGCCCGTGGCCGAGGAGGGGGAGGCGGAGGAGGCCAGGCGGCGGCGGCAGGGTCCTCGCTCTGCTGCGCCCGGTCGTGCGCCCACGGCCGTGCGCGCCCGAGGGCAGGGCCCTCCCCCCGCGTCCCGGAGGGGCCCTCAGGGCAGGGCGTGGCGGGAGGCGCGAGGGTCTGCGGGGCCCTCGCGCCCGGAGAGGGCTCTCGGGGCCGTCGCGGGGTGCCCCGTGGGACCTGCGGCCCCCCTGCCGCCATGCCGCGCCGACCGGCCGGGGCGGGGGTCTGGGGCGGACCTTCTCCTCGCCCGGCGCCTCCGTTGCCCTTTCCCCTCCCTCCCCCCCTCCTGCTCCTCCTCCCCCTCCTTGCGTCAGGAGGGAGACTATGAGCGGAGCTCTCAGCGTCGTGCAACGTGATTCTTATGGGTGAGCGAGAAAAGAGTCTAAGGGAGATAATCAAGGGCAACGCAAACATATATGGTGTGACAGAGTGCCGGAAGGTGAGACGAGAGACGAAGCAGAGTGGAACAAGGAGAGGCTCACAAGGGAGCTTAGCCAGGATGCCCTTCCTCCTCCTCCTCCTTCTCCTCCTCCTCCTCCCTCCCCCTCGTCAGTTGATTCTTCTTCCCATCCTCCGTCCCTTTTTCCCGCGACTGCTATGCCTGACTGGCGCCCGACCGTGCCCGACCGCGCCCAGCGAGAAGGTACAGGAGCGTCGAGTCGGCGACTGGAATGGCTCTCGTTTAGGGTAGGCTGCCGAGACGATTTTCATGTTCAACAAGCACTCGAACTTGTACTGACTGTTCACGTACATAATCATTAGCATGCCATCGACCAGATTGTACATGTTGCACGTGACTTGTCGGGGGACCAGCGAGACGCGCGCGCGGCGGGCGCTTGGGGGGAGGGGGGGTGCGGGGGTGCCCAATGCAATGTTTTGACTGTATTGTATTTTGCACGTTGGGACGAGACGATTGTTTCAGCATGGAGCGCAAACTGAAAGCGGGGATGTGGTCAAACAGATGCGTCGGGGCCTTGATTATGGAAGAGCGCCAGTGGACGTCCCTCTAATTGAAAAGTGGGTGGTTCTCGCACAACCCCCTCCCCCCTACCCCCCTTCAAGGGTGTCTGTTTTAGGGCATCGGAATCTTCTTTGTTTGTCAATCGGAATTCAGTAGAACACGCGCTGATCCCAGCCCTCGCAGAATTCTATATTTCTTGCTTGGCCATCGGAATTCAACAGGACATGCGCTAATCCCCCCCTCCCGCAGAAATCTATGACTCGCTACGGGTTTTTTTTTTTTTTTTTTTTTTTTTTTTTTTTTTTTTTTTTTTTTTTTTTTTTTTTTTTTTTTTTTTTTGTTGTTTTTTTTGTTTTTCTCCCTCCTTCTTTCACACACACACATATATATATATATATATATATATATATATATAGATCTCCGGAATCCAATTGGAAATGCGTCGATCCCGGCCTCCCGCAAAATTGGAATGTGATAGGAAATGCGCTGATCCCAGCTAGGAACTTGATGGGAAATTTGCCGATCCCTGCCTTCCGCAGAATGCTTGATTGTGTGTGTGCAAAGTCAGAGCCTTAATTTAGTCATCAACCTGGCCCTGTTCTTGGTGTGATCAACCGGAGAACTCCTTTTCTCTCCGCTTCTGCTCCCCTGTGCGCCGCTCGCGCTCCCCTCCGGCTCGTATCCTTCGCCCCCCTTCTCTATCCTTAGCCGCTCCCTGCTCCAATTGTCCGTCATTCGCTTAGCCCCAGAGGGGTGGCCCCCGAGGCTTTGACATCGGACCTCCCCTCCTCTCTTCTTCGCCCGCCCCTCCCCTGCGCGATTGTCCACCTGCGAAAAATTCGCGAGAGACCGGGCCCCCCCGTGAAAAATTCGCGAGGGTCCCGCGAAAGATTCGCGTGAATCCATCGCGCCGTGCACTGTCCTCTGAGGCGTCCCCCGGGCTACCTCGCCCCCGTGAAACCCCCCTTGGGCGATTCGCGAGGGCTGTTCCCGCGCGAGACCACCCCGGGCGACTCGTGCAGGAACTGAGCGGCGGAGACCCCCCCGGGCGACTCCACCGCTCGGACCGACCCCCCCCCCGGGCGAGTCGGGCCGTCCTGGAACCCCCCCGGGCGATCCAGGACCCCCCGCACCCTCCCAGGCGAGCGGGGGCGCCTACGGGAAAAGCCCCCGCCTGAGCTCCCCCTTTTGAGGGAACTTTGGCGGGGGCGATCCGCGCCGGGGCGGCAGTCGAACCCCCCCGGGCGATCGACCGCGGTAGATCCCTCCCACAAAAAACACAAAAAACACAACAGTCACAAAAACATGCAAAACAACACAACACAACACAACACAACACAACACAACACAACACACAAAACACACAAACACCACAAAAAAAAAACCGGACGAAACATATCACAAATACAAAAAACGCAAATACCACACACATGCACACAAAAATGATTAAATTACGGCTCTGACTTTGCACACCTAAGCTTGAATATCCTATGTGTTTTCCATACGCTTCAATAGGAAATGCGTGCGCTGATCCCAGCATCCCATGGGGTGCTTCAATATTCTATGTGTTTCAGTATCTGTTCAACGAGAAATGCGCTGGTACCAACCTCCCACATACTGCTTGATATATGTTTGTTCCAAGATGCATTCAATGGGGCACTCGCGGGTCCCAGCCTCCGATCATAATTCCATGACGCAAGAGAAACAGAAACAGCCGGAATTCGCTAGGACATGGAATCTCTGAGGAATCTCTCAGGAATCGCAAAGGAGTCTCCAAGGAGTCTCTAAGGAATCTCTAAGGAATCTCTGAGGAGCTTCCAAGGCGGTTGGAATTGGTGCCACTTCGGTTGGAACTGGTGCCAAAATGGCTGGAAGCTGTACCAATTCGGCTGTAATCCGTCCCATTTTCGGGTTAATCCCCGTGGCCCGGGACGACTGATCGGGCAGGGTCGGGGTCCCAGGACGACGGGCCAGGAGAAGGGGGGGAGGGGGGGAGGGGTCCCGGACCCCCGCCCCTTCCAGGGCATACACGGGCTCGTCCTTTTGTTCGTTTGTTGTCGTTCCTTTTTCCCTTTGACTTGCAAACTTACAGGCACTTTTTGATCGGCAGGGTGAGAGCGAACCTCTTCCGCTGAAAGCTAGGCGGGCTACGCACAGCTTTAATTAGTAGAGACAGGGCAAAACAAGGCGGGGCCTCAGGCGGCCAGGAGTGGGCGGAGCCCGGGGATCAGGCGGTGCCGAAGTGGATGTGCAGGAAAAGAGACGCCTTGGACAGGAGCCCGGTGGCGAAATCCCGGGAAGCGAAGAGCGGTGGTGGTGCCGTCAACGGCGCCCCGCGAACACCAGCCTCACGAACTGCGGGAGGGGGCGCGCCACGTGACCAGGTTGACGCCCAGATGAGCACCACCACGCCCAGGTGACTGAGGAAGATGAGCACCACAAAGACGATGAGCAACGTTGTGCCACCATATGATGCCGAAGAGGCCCAGGGCGTGGTAGTCCAATCCACGACCAGGAAGCTAGGCAGCCAAACGAACTGGCCGCCCATGATCAACAAAAAAGAAACTTACAGACACAAGGCCCCGACACACACACACACACCAACCGCTGCAGCCACTGGAGGAGTGAGGAGAGGGAGGAAGAGAGAAAAGGAGGGAGGGAAGGAGGGGGGGAGGGATGGAAAGAAGATGGGCACGAGTGCGTTTGAGGCTTGCCATTGACCGAGCGCCCCAGGAGTGGGTCAACGCCAAGGAAAAGGAGTTCAAAAAGGCGGAAAAGACGTGCCACCGCCCGACAGCGCCGTCGCGCTCCCCAGCGTCGCCGCGCGACCTGCTCCGACTTGGCTCCCTGTCTCTCACTCTCTATTTCTACCCTCCCCCTCTCGTTATTCACACCTGTGTAGTATGTATTCACTCCGTTCCTCTTCTCCCTTCTCTCCCCCTGGCCCCTTGTCTCTTATCCTTTGGTTGTATTGCATTCTATGTGTTTTGTCCCTGTCTTCCCTCCTCTCTGTTCTCTTCGCTCTTGCGGATCATACGTTTTCTATGATCTATGTTGTCTTCTCGTCTCCTATTATATTACCTGTTGTTCTTTACGATCTGTTTATATTGTCTATTCCCTCGCTCTTTGTCTCTGATCTTTCTGATCTTACTCCATTTCTCTCACTGACCACACTCCTTGATCTGAGCCTTGCGCTGGCTCCTGCCCCTGGTCGCAGTGAATTCCAACATCTTCGACTCGGCTTTGAGATGCACCGCCCCAGGAGGCATGATCCACCGCCGATCCAAGAAGCCCGCGCGGTGCTTCGATAGGTATTGCATGGCTTTTTCCCAACCAACCTGCTGTTGGGTCTTCGTTTTGAAGAGGGCGCCCCACGTTCCCGTCTTCCTCCTCCCTCCTCCCTCCTCCCCCCTATAGGGAGCTCCACCGAAGGCCCCAGTGGCTACACTCGCATGCGTTTCCCCCGCCCAGTACAGCGTCTCGTGGCCTCACAGGGAGCTCCACCGAAGGCCCCAGGTGCTGCACTCGCATTCGCCTCTCTTATCCAGCACAGCGTTTCGTGGCCCTATCGGGAGCTCCACCGAAGGCCCCAGCGGTTGCGCTCGCATGCGTTTCCCCGGTTCAGTACAGCGTTTCGTGGCCCCATAGGGAGCTCCACCGAAGGGCCCCGCGGCTGCACTCGCATGCGTCTCCCCCGCCCAGTACAGCGTCTCGTGGCACCATAGGGAGCTCCACCGAAGGCCCCAGCGGCTGCACTCGCATTCGCGTCTCCCATCCAGCACAGCGTTTCGCGGTCCCATCGGGAGCTCCACCGAAGGCCCCAGTGGTGGCACTCGCATGCGTCTCCCCCGTCCAGTACAGCGTTTCGTGGCCCCATAGGGAGCGCCACCGAAAACCCCACTTGCTGCACTCGCACGCGTCTCCCCCGCCCAGTGCAGCGTGTCCTGGCTCCACGAGGAGCTCCACCGAAGGCCCCAGCGGCTGCACTCGTATGCGTCTCCCCCAGCCAGCACAGCGTCTCGTGGCCCCATCGGGAGCTCCACCGAAGGCCTCAGCGGCTGCATTCGCATGCTTTCCCCCCGCTCAGCACAGCGTTTCGTGGCACCATAGGGAGCTCCACCGAAGGCCCCCACGGCTGCACTCGCATGCGTCTCCCCCGCCCAGTACAGCGTTTCGTGGCCCTATATGGAGCTCCACCGAAGGCCCCAGTGGAACAGCTCACACGCGTCTCCTCCACCCAGTACCGCGTTTTGTGGTCCCATAGGGGGCTTCACCGAATGCCCCAACGGCTGCACTCGCATGCGTTTCCCCAGCCCAGTACAGCGTTTCGTGGCCCCATAAGGAGCTCCACCGAAGGCCCCAGCGGCTGCACTCGCATGCGTTTCCCCCGCCCAGTACAGCGTCTCGTGGCCTCACAGGGAGCTCCACCGAAGGCCCCAGGTGCTGCACTCGCATGCGTCTCCCCCGCTCAGCATAGCGTTTCGTGGCCCCATAAGGAGCCCCACCGAAGGCCCCAGCGGAATCATTGACACGCCCACGCAGTACAGCGTCTCGTGGCTCCATGGGGAGCTCCACCGAAGGCCCCCGTGGCAATTCCACATGCGTTTCCCCCGCCCAGTACAGCGTTTCGTGGCTCCATAAGGAGCTCCACCGAAGGCCTCAGTGGAACTGGTCACATGCGACTCCCCCAGCCAGGACAGGGTCTCGTGGTCCCATGGGGAGCTCCACCGAAGGCCCCAGTGGCAACTTTTTCATGCGCCTCCCCCACCCCGCACAGCGTGTCGTGTCCCATCGGGCGCTCCACCGAAGGCCCCAGTGGCAAAGTTCGCATGCGTTTCCGCGGCCCAAAACAGCGTTTTGTGGCCCATAGGGAGCTCCACCGAAGACGACATCCACAACTCCGGTACTCACAACTGCAAATGGTTGGGTCCTTCGCCGACTTATTCCCACGCCTCCTTGGTTGAGTATTCGTTTTGAATAGAGCACTGCGGTCTCCAGTTCTCCTCCCGCCTCCCGCCTCCCGTCTCCCGCTCCCTCTTGTCTCCCCTTGCCTTGCGCGACCCTGGCCATCCCTGGAGGGCTGCGATCTGCGAAACTGTCGTCACTTTCGAGGGCTGCTGGTGGGTCCAGCGGAGTGAGGCACCGCGGGGATCTGAGCCTGACCTCGCCGTCCCTGGGGGGCTGCGATCCGCGACACTGTCGCCACTTTCGAGGGCTGCTGGTGGGTCCAGCGGACTGAGGCACCGCGGGGATCTGAGGTAGACCTCGCCGTCCCTGGGGGGCTGCGATCTGCACAACTGTCGCCACTTTCGAGGGCTGCTGGTGGGTCCTGCGGACTGGGGCACCGCGGGGATCGGAGCCTGACCTCGCCGTCCCTGGGGGGCTGCGATCTGCGAAGCTGTCGCCATTTTCGAGGGCTGCTGGTGGGTCCTGCGGACAGGCACCGCGGGGATCTGAGCGAGACCTCGCCGTCCCTGGGGGGCTGCGATCTGCGAACTGTCGCCACTTTCGAGGGCTGCTGGTGGGTCCTGCGGGCTGGGGCACCGCGGGGATCTGAGCGAGACCTCGCCGTCCCTGGGGGGCTGCGATCTGCGACGCTGTCGCCACTTTCGAGGGCTGCTGGTGGGTCCTGCGGACTGAGGCACCGCGGGGATCGGAGCCTGACCTCGCCGTCCCTGGGGGCTGCGATCTGCGAAGTGTCGCCATTTTCGAGGGCTGCTGGTGGGTCCTGCGGACAGGCACCGCGGGGATCTGAGCGAGACCTCGCCGTCCCTGGGGGGCTGCGATCTGCGAAACTGTCGCCACTTTCGAGGGCTGCTGGTGGGTCCTGCGGGCTGGGGCACCGCGGGGATCTGAGCGAGACCTCGCCGTCCCTGGGGGTGCTGCGATCTGCGACGCTGTCGCCACTTTCGAGGGCTGCTGGTGGGTCCTGCAGACTGAGGCACCGCGGGGATCGGAGCCTGACCTCGCCGTCCCTGGGGGGCTGTGCTGGTGGGTCCAGCGGACTGGGGCACCGCGGGGATCGGAGCGAGACCTCGCCGTCCCTGGGGGGCTGCGATCTGCGATACTGTCGCCACTTTCGAGGGCTGCTGGTGGGTCCTGCGGACTGGGGCACCGCGGGGATCGGAGCCTGACCTCGCCGTCCCTGGGGGGCTGCGATCTGCGACGCTGTCGCCACTTTCGAGGGCTGCTGGTGGGTCCTGCGGACTGGGGCACCGCGGGGATCGGAGCCTGACCTCGCCGTCCCTGGGGGGCTGCGATCTGCGAAACTGTCGCCATTTTCGAGGGCTGCTGGTGGGTCCAGCGGACTGGGGCACCGCGGGGATCTGAGCGAGACCTCGCCGTCCCTGGGGGGCTGCGATCTGCGACGCTGTCGCCACTTTCGAGGGCTGCTGGTGGGTCCTGCGGACTGGGGCACCGCGGGGATCTGAGCCTGACCTCGCCGTCCCTGGGGGGCTGCGATCTGCGACACTGTCGCCACTTTCGAGGGCTGCTGGTGGGTCCAGCGGACTGAGGCACCGCGGGGATCTGAGCGAGACCTCGCCGTCCCTGGGGGGCTGCGATCTGCGACGCTGTCGCCACTTTCGAGGGCTGCTGGTGGGTCCTGCGGACTGAGGCACCGCGGGGATCTGAGCCTGACCTCGCCGTCCCTGGGGGGCTGCGATCTGCGACACTGTCGCCACTTTCGAGGGCTGCTGGTGGGTCCTGCGGACAGGCACCGCGGGGATCTGAGCGAGACCTCGCCGTCCCTGGGGGGCTGCGATCTGCGAACTGTCGCCACTTTCGAGGGCTGCTGGTGGGTCCTGCGGACTGGGCACCGCGGGGATCTGAGCGAGACCTCGCCGTCCCTGGGGGGCTGCGATCTGCGACGCTGTCGCCACTTTCGAGGGCTGCTGGTGGGTCCTGCGGACTGAGGCACCGCGGGGATCGGAGCCTGACCTCGCCGTCCCTGGGGGGCTGCGATCTGCGAAACTGTCGCCACTTTCGAGGGCTGCTGGTGGGTCCAGCGGACTGGGGCACCGCGGGGATCTGAGCGAGACCTCGCCGTCCCTGGGGGGCTGCGATCTGCGACGCTGTCGCCACTTTCGAGGGCTGCTGGTGGGTCCTGCGGACTGAGGAGGGCTGCTCGGTGGGCTGCCTGTCGGACTGGGGCACCGCGGGGATCTGAGCCTGACCTCTGTCCGTCCCTGGGTCCTGGGACTGCGATGCGATGCGAAACTGTCGCCATTTTCGAGGGCTGCTGGTGGGTCCAGCTGACTGGGGCACCGCGGGGATCTGAGCGAGACCTCGCCGTCCCTGGGGGGCTGCGATCTGCGACGCTGTCGCCACTTTCGAGGGCTGCTGGTGGGTCCTGCGGACTGGGGCACCGCGGGGATCTGAGCGAGACCTCGCCGTCCCTGGGGGGCTGTGATCTGCGACACTGTCGCCACTTTCGAGGGCTGCTGGTGGGTCCTGCGGACTGAGGCACCGCGGGGATCGGAGCGAGACCTCGCCGTCCCTGGGGGGGCTGCGTTAGTAACCACTGCGACGCCCTTACATCTTGATCGGGGGCCAGCGGGCTTTCTGATTGCTGCTCGCAAAATCACAGGCGTCCATGTTACGTCATCGCCCCCGTTGCAGCAATCGTGATGTACTTATGCCCCGCATTGCGCAAGGGTTGGGTACGTTGCCAGGGTATTTTTTGGGGGGGATCTTCTTCTCCTTCTATTCCTTCCGCTTTGCTATCGCCCCCCCCCTTCTCGGGTGTTGCTAGAAGTACCCCTGGCCCAAGGTGCCCCCA